CCCCAAAACCCCAAAACCCCAAAACCCCAGGATGATATTATCAAGTTGAAATTAATTAGATCTTAAACTGTTCACGCATTGTTAATGTTTCGTCTTGTTACAGCTCTTTTACAGATAGGACAGTTTGGTTTTCTGCGTAACCATGATTTAATACATGGACGGTGAAACATATGATTGTTTCCTCAAGGTAAGAAAATTGGAGGGGATTTAGTATCGAATTTTCAGAGGCATATTATGCATTCTTTATCTTCTTTATACTCATTTATTTTTAGCTGTTTGAATTTTGGAAGCCTCTGAAGAAATTTTTTATTTCTTACCTTAGGTCTGGTTCTTCTTATATTATGTGATAGATAATTCAAGAGTAATAGAGTAAAAACTAAAAAACAAATTCTTGACAAGATTTCTATTGTTGATAAAACACAAAGTAACAAAGAGGCTATCCATATCATCACTGATTCTTTCTTTCAATTACCAGAAGAAATTGAAAACAGTATGATTAGAACTAAATTCCAGAAGAGCATTAAGAAGAACTTGAGTATTGCAAACACAGCATAACCATAGAAAGCATGCCTCCAATACTTCGCCAAGGCTAGTAATACAAGTCTGATACAATTGAAGAATCATAACCTGAGAATTATTTCGACAAGTATAATAGTTTTCATACCTGTCCCGCAGTCATCTCCTGAATTTAGGAGGTAAAGAATGAGAACAGGGATAAAGTAAATGAAATCGCAGATGGATTTAATTGTTCCTACATTGATTGCTGACCAATCCTCATCCTCTAATCTTCTAGTTACTCATCTTGAGTTTCTTCTCGGTCTTATTGTTAGATCTATTACTGGGCTATGTTCAACACTGTTTGCTCCATTCCTTATTTGAATATTTCCCAGGTTTCTCCTAAAATGAGCAGTAAATTCATCTCCTTGAGCTTCAGCATCACTGTTATTGTTTTCAAGATCTTGATGGCTGGATTGTCAGCAGATATTTTTATTGTTAAAATTCTTTTTCTTCAGAACTATTTTTATCAATGATATTTGGGAGTTTTCTCTCTTCAAATTTTGACTTTGGACAACTTTTGGATTTCTCTTCCTCAAATTCTTTCAAATCAACTGGAACTTTCCGATTTACACTCAGCCTTCCAGATATCTGACTCCTATCCCCCACACCTATATCCTCATCTACTCTTCCCTTAACTCTCCCACCCATCTTTCCCAAACTCCACCCTCAAACCCCCTACCAAGCCCTCCCTGCTCCTCTAATCCCTCTCTTCACTCACAACCCCTAATCCTCTCTTCCTCCCTCCCCTCTCCAATACCCCTACCTTTCTCTGTCTGAATCCTTCCACCAATCTCCGAGTTGGTCCTTTCCATGTTGATCAGATTGTAACTAGAATCGTTCATTTCTTAATTAGCTTAATTTTGCAATATCTTAGGCATTTTTAGGGGTTTTGGGGTTTTGGGGTTTTGGGG